CCCGTCAACCCGTATGATTCTTTTGAAAACTTGAACTAGAAATTCTACCGTTGGTCTAGTTTACTTGGCCTAATCAATATTTATATATCTGCACCTGCTTTCACCCTGTGGTTTTGCTACTCTAAATCAGCCTTCTTTAATTCGAATGATAAATAAACTAAAAACCATCCTCCTTTACTCTTAGTAAAAATTTCAGACAGATCGCTCACGCGACCTTTTGCGTAGGCGTGTGCAAATATTTTGTTCAAAATTGAGCTTTTTTTGTTGAATAACTTTGCACACGTGGCTTATATTTAGGCCAAGTTTGACACCTAATTGTAGCTTGTAAAGATCTATCAGTGTACCAAATTTGAAAAAAAAAAAACCATGAAAGTTAAGTATGTTTTCTATCAAATAAAGTTTTCCTATTTTTGGTGCAAAGAAGAAAAAAAAAGGAAAAATTCAATCAAAGTTTGAGATTTTATATCTCGTGTATTTCTTGATGGATTGCCTGGAAATTTGGTATGTGAAGTAAGGGTCCACTGAAAATATGTGTTAGTTTTGATTACCACAGTCCGAACTACAGAAAATGGAAAATTGCTAAACTGTCACTGCTGTTAATAACATACAGTGTGTCGTGCAGACTGTTTTGGCTGCATGACACACTACCGTATGTCTTGTTTAAGAGTGTAAAACAAAACCGAAGAATTTGGTACAATGAAAGACAAACACTTTGTTAGTAGTTTCAACCGACTAGTTTTGTTAACCGAGTTACCATCAGCAGGATTTGTGAATACGGTGTTAATTTAGCCTACATTAAACACCAACTATTAATAGGTACGTTCATTTCTGTAAAAACAAGGGCAGGAGGCAAGGGAAAAGGGGATAGGTAAATAGTGAATAATAGAATACTTACGACGAAAGTTATTCGAATAGAGTATGTTGATTGGTTTGTCGTCTCTATTTATACACACAGATGTTTGTAATTATATAAATAATCTCTCTTAAGTTCCTTCTTATGTTTGTTTGTGCAGTTCTTAATATTTTTTTCTCACATTTTCCAATAATATTTACTATCACATTTCCAGAAACGTTCAACTAGAGTAGAGGACATTATTTTACTATATTTATGTCATATTGGTGTTCCTTCAATCTCATCATGTGTTCCTACCTTGGTTGTCCTATTTACATTCAACCACAATACAACCGATTTCATAAATGGTTAACAATTTCGTATTTTCTCCGTAGTTTGAATTAAAAATGACATCATCACTTATTCTGTTGGGTAACGCGCTCTGAAAGTAAGATTTGGAAACCACATAATATGTCATACTTGATCATCTCTGGATGGTTTAATAGCCTGTATGGTCATTTAATATTTTCTACTGACATCTAGTTAATAGAATAACATGTAGATTCTACTTGCGGTTCGGAGAATATAAAAAAAAATATATCTGTCGATACTCTACAGATAATAGCCTTAATTACTAAATAATCCCAAGAATACCTGGACTTAAAAAATACAATAAGAATTTAAATCGTCAAAGAAATCCAACAAGTTTATGTAATATAGGCTTTCTAAATGTATCAGATCAATAAGAATGAAACATCATGTAACAAGTACTCTTGAGATTTTGTGGGCTAGAATAAGGTACAAATTTCCACGAGGAAACTTTTATGGCTGAAACTTGAACACGTTAGAACAATTTGAAAAACAAAAAGACTGGAAATCACTATAAATTTACTATTTTAATGGTGCAATAAAGAGATAGAGTAACTATCATTGTTATTATTTTTTACCCTGAGTAGTGTAAGTAATCTTCATAATTACACTGAATGCCAACATTTGAGTGAGATTTGGTTAATTTATTATAATACATCATACTTTTGTTTTCACATTTCGACAATAATTCATTTTTAACTGATACTACAGAAATCTTTAAGTATTTCTATTGATAAGTTTCGAGGACTGGATATTTGTTCTTCTTTTTGGTCGGCTTGGATGACAAGAAATCCTTACAAATAAAATAGGTTTAATTCGAAGCGATTACATTGTTTTCTTTTCTCTAGAAACACCTATGAGTGAGAAGGCCGCCCACTGACTTGGGGGAAGCTCTCTGTCTTTTAACAGATACATCATGGCCGCTCTCAGAGCTGCTGGAACGTCGTCTTTGTTCTGGGAAATAAACGAACGTGTAACTTAATTTAATTCAGAAAAATAAACATCATTTCCATTAGAACATGTTAGGAGCATCATGTAGCTAAGTTCCAATATAGAAAATCCTGTAAGGTAAGACAATTCTATACAATAACGGTGCATAGATTTACAAAAATAAAAATTATTAAACACCTGGAAGAGTAATAAAATTGAGTTAAATGTTATACCTAAAGACAAAATATATAATGTTTTGGCTCTCTTTTGTTTTCTCTTTTTATTACTTTCATATAAGACCATGCATGTACCTAGAGTTTCTAGTGGGCAGTAACGTATTTCGAAATCATCAAGGACCCCTTTAGACTTTTATCTTTGGGGCTTTTTAAAAACAAAAGTCTACCATAACAAACCAAATGATCTTGACGAAGTGAACCTTCCTATCCATATCGTGATGCTGTGTTGGAAAATTTTTACTCAGAATTTGAACACAGGATTAGATTGATTATAGCTAATGATGGAAGATGTGTATAAGTTTATTAATTAAATTAAATAAAACTTACAACATCAAAAGATATTTTGCTTTGAATCTTGTTGTTATCTCAAATGCTAAAAAAAAAGGTTATTCAAATTTTTTTTTATGTATTTATTTTGGGACACCCTATACATCAAAATAAATGTTTTTTTATACGGTTTGTGGAGCAAGCCTTTATACTGTACTGTTTGTACAAGTAAATAGAAACCTGGTGTGTGGGAGTGTGATCAACTATTTAAAGTTCAATTATGATTTCAATATCAAAAATGCTTATTAGGTTTTAGTATTATATATGTATAGTGTGCTACAGGGAAATTATTCCCTACTTAACTCATATTTCGAATAGGCAACTTCATCAGAACATGTCTGATAATCAAAAATATGCACAGCTCAAAATATTTTAAATTTATCTAAAATAATTCTATCGGTATATTAAATTAAAGTATCTTTTTCCTTCTGTCTATTAATCAAGGACAGAATAAAATTTTTCTGGACATTATAATAATTATATTATTTGTCGTCTTTATCGATGTTAGATGTAGGTGGTTTTTCTAAACTGAATTAATATTGATTTATTAAATCTGAACTTTTGTGCTAGAATAAGAACTCGACAAACATTATTTCCTGACAATTTTCTTAACTTACTCTGTAATGATTGTAGAACGTCTCCATAAATTCTAGAGTAATATCATCTCTGATTTCCCATAGAGTAACAACCACTCCAGTAGCTCCAGCTGCTAAAAAAGACCTGTACAGTCCTACAACGCCATCACCTGAACAAATTAAGTAAAACGATTATCAAAGAACTATAACAAGATAAAAACAGAATGAGCAAAGGGTCAATAATGTGTTAATTATCCTCAACTTGTGTATAAGAATTCATGACGAGAACATAGCATTTGTTATGGGTAGCTCTATGTTGAAAACAAATACGTTCACAATGGAGTATATAGTTAATTTTATTGTTTTGAAGAAAGAGTTGAAGCACAAAAAAAGTAGAAAAAAAGACTGAAAACTCTAAACAGAAAGTGGTTGATATGAAGAAAAAAAATGAAGGCAACAAAGCCCAGAGCAAAACAAAACACCTAAAAAAAAAAAGAGTAATTAAAACGCAAAGAAATATATACAATAAAAATACGTAGGAAAGAAAGAAACGTGAACACTGTAAATATTTTAACAAAATTTAAAGGGTAAAAAACACGAAAGCCAAAGATAGGAAATAG